GAAGCTTGCTCCGGCTCGGCCGCACAGCCGCACCTCCACCTTGGACTGGGCCTGAGCCGCCTCCTGCGCTGCACGTCACTGGACCGTCAATGCTTAGGATATCACTCATGGCAGCATCGCACACCGCTGCTGATGTGCTCCTTGGGTGCCATGTTGTTCAGGGATCTGAACACAGCGCTGAGGGAGGGGGGCAGTGCGAAGTGAGCCCAGAGAGGGTCTCTTGAGCTGAGAGCCGTCTGAGGCAGGCAAGGCTTCGGCAGAAAAAAGACCCCATGCTGCATCCCATCCCATCCCTCACCAAATCACCAAACCTTCAATAAAAGGAGCCTTTTGGGTGAGGTCCAACTCCTTGAGCTCTCGGGCCTTTGCAGTGACTTTGCAGCGACCAGAGAAATCTCAGACGTCGTCGCAGCGACCGGGCAGCGAGCGCTGCCCTCCGCAATTCGGCGGCAGGCGCCCCGCAAGGCCTGCGCTGGGTTGAAGGACACTGTGCTGCTTTTCTGGGGCGGCTGCATAGGCCCATTTTAGGGCCCATGCCAGGAAGTCGCAGGGAGCCTCGCGACGGCACTCGCGACGGCACTCGCCGCGACGGACGCCCCCGTTCGTGCCTGCACGGCCTGCCAGCTGGACCAGGCCTGGCAACAACAAAAATTGGAAAAGGCCGAAGTCTGAACGGTTGCGCCTTCACTCCCAGGAGTGAAGCAGAGATCGGCTGCAGCAGCTCCTGCGGCACAGGGTGCAACAAGATGTCTACGACTAGTGCCGAGTCCGACAAACGCTTCCGGCCTCCGGTATCTGGCTCCACATCAATGGCTTGGCTCCTGCAACAGCTACTGCTCCTGTCGTCAAACTGAATTCCGAGACCAGTTTCCAGCTTCTTGGAACGGTGCTGCTGGCCGGCAGCGCACGGATTCAGATCCCGCCACTAGGCCAGCTTCAACGCACGGTGTGAGGGCCCCATGCGCTTGCGAAAGCCTCGCCCCAAATAGTTTCTTGTGCCGATGTAGAATAGCGGGCAGCCACAACTACTTACCAACGCAGACGACCACGGCCAAACTGCTTCCCCCGCAAGTACTGCAACCACATGACTTAACCCGTCGCGCAGACCTAGACGAACACCAACCAATTCTCTGTGCGCTCCGAACCGACGAACTCGTGGTGTGTACGATGTAGAAGTCTGTATCCTCGGTATGCGCAGAACGACATTCGACATGGCAAGTGTTCTTGTGCATGCGCCACGCAGGACCAGTAGAAAGTATGTTTAAGATAGAAGAGCGGCCTCGATTCCTTGATTGCTTTGATTTGCGCCCCCCGCCGGACTTTCTGCTCACGGCTCTCGCCCTCCCGGCCCTCCCTTCACAGCTCGGGAGGCGCTGACAGCATGGGCAGCACGTAGCAGCGTAGCAGCGTAGCAGCTGCAGCGCGCGCCTTTTTTGGGGCCGCAGACAGGGCCGAGGTTCCGGAGCGCGACGGCTGAGGGCACGCTGCGGGCAGGCTGCGGTTGCACGCTGGATCAGGAGCTCGGGAGCTGGAAGCTTCTCAGACGGAAGCAGACGGGTCTTTAAAGAGCCCTGCCCACGGGGCACTAGTGTCACTGTCACACTACTGTAGGGTCTTTACAGAGTTGAAGCAGAACCGCAGCATGCCCTGACCATGGCCGGCTCAGCGTGCCGAGAGTTGCGCCAGCTTGGGCCACCGCATCGCACACCTACAAAAGCTCCACAGAACCTCGGACGCCTCGGACCTCGTCTACGTGCTCTCCAGGGTGTGCCAGCCTTGGGTCAATCTTGCCGAAGATTTTGCTGCCTGAGCCGCAATGGCAACACCGACCCATCCCAACGTCACCACTATCCTGGGATGCAGGCCAACTGGATTTCCCTCCTTGTCCACCTCAACATTTCATCGATTCAATCTTGCTTATTTGCGTCTCTGCGTCCGTCGGTCGGTCCGTCCGTCTGTCTCTGTCCGTCTGAGACTGCCCGGCGGTCTGTGTTTATCTCTATCTGTCCCTTCCTGTGTCTGGCTGTTGGACTGCCTGCCGACTGCTGAGTGCCTGCTACCTGCCTGCTATCTGACGGCCTGCCTGTCTGCCTCGTCTAACTCATCTAGCGAGCTATCTCCGTATCAAGCCGCATAGTCTTTCCAAAGTTATTGAGTCAGTGTCTGTCAGTCGTTCGTTCCAAGCTGACTATCGGCCTTACTTAAATGCCGGTGGATTGTATCTTCGGCGGATATGCGATCGCGCAGCCTTGATGTACATGTGGGCTCTCTTCTCAAGCTCAAGACTGCGTCGCCCCCACACGCCTGAGCAAACCCTGTCTGAGCATCCTGCCAGCACGCCGCAGTTCGTGTCGAAGGCGTGGCGGAAGCCGTTACCCAGCGGCTCCGGCGTGTTCTTGGAGCAGGCTTCCGGCTTGAGCTTTGCACTTATCTTCAAGATGCCCAGGGTGCCGCTTCGGGATTTGGGAGACTTAGCGTTGACCTCTGCCAAGCCTCTTGGCGATTTAAAGCCTGGCCTGTAATAAGCCTGAAGCTCTCGGCCGTTGCAGCCCAACGGCCCTGCGCATGCGGGTGACGATCGCTCGAAGTACCTTGTTCTTGGGACCACCTGTTCGGCCGACCACAACGACCTCAACAGAAGAAGGGCGAGCTAAGGTGCTACACTACGTGGCTCTGTGGCTCTGCCGTTTGTGAGGCTCCGGCAACATCTCCCGGCTCCACAGCTCGAACTTGTGGCTTGATACCTTTGCCCACCACGCTCATGATCTTCATCTTGTAGGCCTCAGTCAAAAACATGAAGGCGCTCTTCTTCTTGTCTCGCAGCCTCACAGCTCGGCTTGTTTTTCCCCATATCACTGTGTGGGGTTCTTACTTTTTGGGGCTGTCCCGCCTCCTGCTCCTCCTCCTCTTGCTCCTCCTTCTCCTCCCGCCCTCCTCTCATCCTCCTGCCCTCACGCACTGTCATCACGGTCACTCATCGTCGCACTCATGTCACTGTGACACACACACACACACACCTCCGGAAGACGCTAAACGCGACAACATGCCTTCTCGGGCAAATCGGTCGGAGGCCGCGCGGGCCGCGCGCGCGCGCGCGCGTTGGGGGCGAATCCTGCGGAAGACTCTAAACGCGACTATAAACGCCTTCTCGGGCTGCTCTGTCGGAGGGCGTCGCGCGCTGGGGGCGAATCCTTCGGAAGACTCCAAACGCGACTAAACGCCTTCTGGGGCTTCGAACTGCCCCTCTCACCCACCCTCCGTGATTTCAGTTGCCCGAGACCCTAATTAGTGTCATCACGGTCACTCATCGTCGCACTCATGTCACTGTGACAACCACACACACACACACACACACACACACACACACACACACCCACCCACACCCACACCCACACGCACACGCACACGCACACGCACACGCACACGCACACGCACACGCACACGCACACACACACACACACACACACACACACGGAGTGGTAGGAGAGTCCTGCGCAGCAGCGAACATAGTCTGCCGGGCGCATTGTCCGGGCGAGTTGCTGAAACTGTCGCTACATGTACACACACACACACACACACTCACGCGCACGCGCAGTGGTCGGAACTAATCGCAACCTAAGTGCTTCGGAGCCCACAACGACATGCCATCGCTATCGCAGAAGCAGGCTCAGCTGTCACACATACACACACACACACACCAAAAAAAAAAAACAGGATAACGATCCGGTAGCACAAACAACAGCAACACGTGCAAACAGACAGCTGACACTTAATTGACCGAAACAAGACTTGTCAGACGTGAGCTGGCTCCCCATTCTGGGTCGCACAAGAGCTCTGTCACACACGCACAGACACACACACACACACGCACATGCACATACACACACAAACACACATCATACACCCTGATAACACCCCCAGACGCACTCATTGCAGCACTCACTCACTCGTTCACTCACGCACTCATTTACTCTCTCACTCATTTACTCTTCTGCACCTTTGTGTTCTTTACGAATGGATAAGTTTCACATGTGGGGTTATCTGGTCCTTTAATTTAACGTTGATTGACGGTCCAAGCGACTCCGCTGTTGTCCTGGCACATCAGGACGAAGTCCTTCGAGGGAAGCAGCGATCCAAGCCTCGCCGAAGTCAGAGCTACTCTGTGACATAGATGCACTACACTACAATCACTACAAGTAGCTCTTTAGGCGCCCGACATGGCCACCAGCCCCAGGAGGAGGGCGGGAACCTTGCACTGCAGAGAAGAAAACCAGACACCTCCCTGCACGGCATGGAGGAACGTGCTTTCATTGTTTGGGGGGTGCGCCATCACCAGCCGACGAGCCGCACTGCTCGTCTTGGGCCTCAGAGGCTTTGAGCCTGAAATGGCCCTGTACTTCGTATATCTGTTGAGGCTTGGTCTCGGGCGCCATCGCGGCCACTGCACCCGGATCCCACCTGACCGACGGTCGCCAAGAATCTGAAACGAGACGTGACCAGAGCTGACCCGCCTGAAAGCGCCGGGTTCAGGGCTCCGGTCACCAAGCTGAGCCAAATCCGGCTGCGGCACAGAAATATCGCAGGTCATTCCCTGCCATGCTGCCATGCCATGTTGTTTGAAATGTTTGACCTTTGAAAGGCAAAAGCTCCCCAGCGGGCGCGAGAGACGCCCCCTGCGTCCTTGCTGGACTTGCTGCAAGTTGCACAGAAGCGGAAGACTCGCGCCGCTCCTCGTGTCCGAAACCAGAGAAAGGAATTAGGCGAACATTCTGGAACAATCAACCGGCCTTCCATGGCTACAGCACCGGCTGTGCCAGCCGCAAAGTGGAGCAGAACGGTGTGAAGATTTGGATGCGCTAGATGGAACAGTTTGTGACTGGACTCTATGTGGTGTTGTTAAGCTCCTCCCCGGGTGTCCGTGAGCCGACGGCTACGGCGAAAGACCCGGACCTTAAGCAGAAGTGAAATCGTCGTATGCAGGACCCCCGTCGTTCAATCGCCTATAGACCAGGAAGTCGTTCAGGAGGAGGACCGGTGCAACCACGGGCCCGTTGAGAAGGATCTCGGAAAACTTCGCCGCGGACGGGACAGCGTGTTTATGTGGGGCGATGTGCGGCGCCTCCTGACGTAGGTTGGCCACTCTGCAGACCGACGCAAGGCGCTTTCGTTCCTGTGAAGCGAGCCGACCGAAAACTCATGGGCCGTTGGCACCTCCATTTGCCTCCCTACCCCGGCTCCTCACACAAGGAGCAGGCGACGGAATCATCGGCCTCTCGAACTCGCAACCGCCACTCTCGACAAGGCTAAGAGCAGCAGTGGCCGCATGTGTGGCCTGGTAGGGAAGGCAAAGCTCGGAGACCAGCCCCTCCCTCTTCAGGTAGCCGAAGACCTTAAGAGATCTCAGCAGCAGGCTTCAAGTCTACCCGTAGCGGCTCTTCCTGGCCCAGGCGCCTCACAGTATCCAGGGTGCCACCCCTGCAGCCTCTGCCGAGTGGCTCACACCTCGTTGCACACGACGAACCGAAGCACAGAATATGGCAATATGCCCCCCCCCCCCCCCTTCAAGGCTGGGCTGATAGCGACAGGAGTTGCTGCGGCGACAGCCTCAACCTCACAAAAGCTGGCAGGGGGCAGGCTGCAACTCGTTCCGACGGAGAGGGAGGACGCCCACCCGCCGTAGTCCTTGGGGCTTGCGATGCAGAACCTGTCGGTGAAGAGACTGCGCCGGAGTCCGCGAGCGACGCGCGATAGAAAAATGGAAAGGCACCTCTTGCTCATGGCACCGGCCGCGGCGATGGCCCAGCTGGCGGAGCCTAGAGCCATCACGCAGTGAGGTCTTGCTCTCGCTCACGTCCTCCTGAGCTCCGCTGCAGTTGCCCATGTCGTAAACATTCGTCCCGAAACAAGCTGGCCACCTCAGCTGGCAGCGTCTTACTAAAGAAGCCATTCGGTCTGGATTGAACTCGGCCACCGGCTTTTTCCGAGAGTCGAAGTCCGTTGGCAACTCCACGGACGCCGGCAGCATGCAGTCTGGGATGCCACCTGAAGGTAACAGCTCGGCCTCCAGCGCCTCCAGCTGCACTCAGGCCCAGGCTCGCTTGGGAGACACTGATCCCTCCCAACCGCTGCATGTCACCGATTCTCCAGCCCTCAGGAGAGAGCCGAGAGAGAGCAAGAGCTCAGAGGTTGGAAATTCAGACAGCAGCGCCCAAATCATAAACCGTCAGACCCTCGTGCCACGTCAATGTCCACGGTAAAGGGCTTAGGATTTTGACAAGCGTATATAATGTATATGGGGTGGAGCCCATGCTGGACCTCGAAAAAGCGCGCTGCGCCGGCGCTCCAGGTCCGCGCCTAGACAAGAGCACTTTGTTTCAACAAAGCATCATGCGAAGCTGAAAGGTGCAAAACACTACTGTCGGTCCAGCTTTTGATCCATGCGCTGACATGTGCATATGTCTATGTCTAGGTCCATGTCGATGTCTATGTCTAAGTCTGGCTGTGAGGGAGGTGGCGGGTTGGCACACACACACACACACCTACAGAGATAGATAGATGGATAGATAGATAGATAGATAATCAAATACACTATAATGTACTATAAAACAGCAGTAATCATACAAAAGAAGAGCAAGAGAAGAGAAGAGAAGGCAATTGAATATCATGCACCATGACATACTAGGTACATTCAGATATTCGGTATTCCCCTTAATTGTATATTTATCACACAATGAGATACACTAGAACATAATGCAATTGTGTAATGGAACGCAGTCTAACGGTAAAATACCATACAACTGCAGCATGATGCACATGATTCTACAGTATACAAGCAGTACAACATAATACACTGTTGCTGCAATCTAACCTCATGTATTATCTTGTGGTATATAATTATGTTGGGATGTAGGCGCCTGTAAGTTGTGCCTCAGACCTCCTCTTGAGTGTGAGTAGAGGGTGTGCACAGATGCCCCTCACGTCGCCGATGGATGGTGGCTCAAGATCATGCAAAACAGACGTCCGAAGCGAGCGTCCGTGGACGCGTAGGGGCGGTCGCAGCTCAGCCACCGCCGCCAATGTGAGAGGCCGTTTTCTTCGCCGAGGTGCAGGTGATCTTCTGCAAGGGCTCAGTGACGGAGACATGTTTGGGGTGCGGCCAACCTAAGAGGCGTACAAACCGAAGCTGGTGGAGGTGGGCGCTACGTTCGGTGACTATGGTCTGGGGTTTCCACCTGGGCTTTGTGGAGCAGCTCCAGAGGCAGGTCATGGAGATCAGCCCAATGGGCCTGCGGATCCCTCAACCTCAGGAGTGACACCTGAAGCGGGCACGCCAGCCACCGGGGCCCCGAATCCTTTGGACGTCCTCATCACTGGGATGTCACAGTTGCAGCAAGTTCTTCTGAAACAGAAGGGCAGCGACACCCTGGACTTGGAGGCGAAGGCGGTGGTGGAACTGTCTAAGCTCCCGGAGTACACGCCAGAGTCTGGGGCCACGGACTGTCAGGAATATCTGTACTTGACAGAGCAGCAGGTGGGCAGCCTCGGGGGCCACTGACTGGTGGCAGCGGACGCTTCAGATAGCGCAAAAGGGTGAATACCAGTCGCTTTCTCCGATGAAGAGGCTGAGCGTTCGAGCTGTGCTCTCGGAGGACCTCAAGGAGGAGAAGTACAAGAAGCTTGAGCGGAAGGTCGCGTCGTTGCTCCTCAACTCCTTGCCGAAGCGGGTCAGGGATGAGCTGGTGGCCCACAGGGTTCAAGGAGTCTATCAGATTCTCTTCCGGCTGATGGTGATCTTCCAACCAGGGGGAGCGCAGGACCGTGCACAGCTGCAGAGGCAGCTAGATGTTGGAGAGTCCAGCCCGGGTCCGGCGGAGGCAGTTTTGGCCATCCGGACATGGTACAGACTGTTGCAGAGAGCGGCGGACCTCAGCATTGCGCTTCCAGATGAGTCTCTGCAGGTGAGGTCGTTGTGCAACATCGTTCGGCGCACCGCCGAGGCCCATGCAGACTTCAAGTTCCGCGTGGCTTTGGCGAAGACAGAGTTGCAGATCGACTCGAGGCCAAGCCAACAGAATGTCATGAAGTTCCTCCACCACTTGCTTGCCGAGCTAGAGCAGCTAGGCTCCGGGACGAAGAAGGCCGTAGCAGCGACCCCGCCAATGGGAGGGGCGGCCACATCCACCACAACCTCTACGACAACGGCACCTCCGTCCCTGAAGGGAGCTCAGGCCCAAGGCGATGCCAATGGTGGCGGCAAGGGCAAACAAAAGGGCGCTGCGCCCAATGGGAAGCCATGCCAGTGGTTTGTGACAGATCAGGGATGCAAGAACGGAAAACAGTGCACCTTTGTTCACTCGTGGACGGGCTTGAATCGAAGTGAACGCTACCTAAAGGACTGCGGGACCAAGGAAACGGGGTCTCCGGAGAGGCCCTCTTCTCCGCCACCGCCACCCAAACACCCAGCGGGTCAGGCAACGACACACCGCCCATTGCTCCTTCTATGGCGAAGGCTACTACTACTGCGCCGACCGCAGCTTGACCCAGCAGCAGCTGGACGAAGTCAGGCGACTGAAGACTTTGAGGGTCCAGGAGCCAAGTTCGGAGGTGTGCTCCTTCGATAGTGCAGTTGCTTGGTATGAGGCCAGGCTGAATGCTACATCGTTGAATTCGAGTTCGGGTACACTCCCTGAGGAGGAGCAAGAGGCTCTGCTGGATAGCGGAGCCAGTCACCCGTTCAGGCCGGCTCGTTCGGAAGAGGAGCTACTGCGGGCACGACGGGTGAATGTTTCTTTGGCAACCGGGGATGGTGCTCTGCTGTCCCAGACGACTGAAGGGACACTTTTGTCGGAAGGAGGTGATCAAGCTCCCATCATTTGGATGGGCCAGTTGGTCAAGCTACTGGGTTGCCAAATCAAGTGGACCCAGAACCGCCTCACCGTCCACCATCCGGTTCATGGCAAGTTGCAGGTGCGGCTGCGAGGCAACTGTCCGGTTTTGCCTGTGTCCCAGGCGCTGACCTTGATCAGTGAGCTAGAGCAAGCCCGAGTGAGTGAATTTCAAAGGACCGTTGATGGGCTGCAAGCGCAGGTTCGTGCACTCCGGGATCAAGGCCGTGAAGGGTGGACCTGGCAACGTCATCTTCGTGCCCTTTCTGAAGAGGGAAGCCGTACCTCCATGGCGGGTTTTCTGCATCGGTGCCCTACCTTCTCCAGTGTTCCGGCAGAGGCTTTGCTGGGGATACCCGAGAGTGTTCCGCGTGCCGCGTGACCTCAAGGATGGATGGAAGTTGCTAAAGGGCCTGCCATGGCCGCTTGCGAAGCGCAAGGCTATCTACGCCAGTACTTCCTGGACGGTGCACCTCTTTTCTGGGAATGAGCGGGCTATAAGGTCGCGAAGTGTACCTCCACCATGCGTTCATCCTTCTGGAATGTAGCCCTGGAAGTGGATGAGGTGATCATCAATGTGGACGTGACGGACAGCAGGGCCTTGGGTCTCAATCAACGTGATGGGGTTTTTCGGCTGCTGTGCTGGGGAGCCTTTACGGGACGGATCAAGGCCATTGTTGGTGGCCCACCGAGGCACTCCTTCCCTGCACCCGTGCGCTCGGATGAGACCAAGGAGCAGTACCAGAAGGAGGTCCAGCTGATCACTCGCATGATGATGATGTTGTGGTACATTGCGGAAGAAGGGCGCTGCAAGGCTTGGAGGCAAGGTTCTTTGAGCCGCTCGGTGGTGAAGCCACATGCGGGTTTTCTTTTGGAGCATCCAGATGGAGGTGGCCGTGATGATCGGGCTTCGTTGTTCCAGTCCTCTGTGTGGAGGGCCTTCTCAACTGATGCCCTGAGGTGGAACTCGTTATGAATGGACGGTCTACGACACTTGGAGGTAACCTGGATCTTTAACACCTTCAAGGGGCCCAGATGGGTCCAACTACTCCTGGTGATCCGATGTTTTCTATGTGGCCGCTGGAGTTGGTGGCTAATGACTAATGCTGCTCATGCCTTGAGGCCTGGGTGGGTCTCAGAAAGAAGGAGAGCTTGTTGTCTTCTTTGATGAGGAGATCCTGGATGGGGTTTATGGAAGAGGCACATGAAGGACGTCCTCTACCAGACGGTTCACCGGCCTCTGCTGAAGGGGGCGATGCAAGGCTGCGTCGCTTTGATGTGGATGGGCGGCGGCTACATCTTCAACGGGATCACCTGCCTTACAGAAGGGGCTGTCGGGTGTGTATTGAGCGTTCCACGGGACGACCTCATCGAAGGATCGTTCATCCCACCGCGTACTCGTTTTCCATAGACACGGCTGGACCTTTCAGGTCAAAGGGGGCCAATGGACAGAAGTACCTTTTGGTAGCTTGCTACAGGCTCCCGAAGTTTCCGGGCACGACGGTGGAACCCGAGAAGGCCGACCATGTGGAAGATGATCGGTTGATCCCAAGGCCAGATGATGGAGAAGATTGGTTGTTTGATCATGATGATCCTCCGTGTGGGGCACGAGAAGCGGGTGAAGACGGTCCTGAATCAGCAGGGGATCCTCTCAAGGTTGCTGGTGACGAGGCCAAGAAGGATGCGGATGCTGAGACCCTGAAGGCTGTTCAGGAAGCTTACATACAGCTTCGCTCCTGTGGACTCCCCGTGCACCGTCTTCATGCTGACCGTGCCCGCGAGTACAACACCAAGTTCTTTGGGCAGCCAGTCGGGATATTGACATATCCAAAACCCAAGGCGACGATCCAGCTCAGAACGGGACAGCAGAAAGAGCTGTTCGCTTCATCAACATGCGGACGCGCATCTTATTGTCCCAAGCCCAGGACCTGAGCGGCCTCTCCGATGAGGTAGTTCGAACATTGTGGCCCTATGCAGCAGAGGCCGCAGCAGCACAGCAACAAGCTGAGATGTGGGGACAAGCTTCGCCTTCGGCGGCGCGCTTTGGATCTAAAGTTTTCACAAGGAGGAAGGGCTATGGGCAAGGGGGACGAACTGATCTCTTGCCAAAGCGGGTTGAAGGAGTGTATCTGGGCCCCGTTCGCTCTGTTCCGGGAGGTCATTTGGTGCTGACCGATGAGGGTAACTTGTGGTTCACGACGAATGTCCGACAATTCCAAGAACCCCCTGTTCATGATGAGGGAGCAGAAGCTGATCGAAAACTTTCTCCTCACCCTCCTCTACGGTGCGTTCGAAGGAAGAGTTCCATTGTGGAGCTGGCGGGCGGTGTCGGTCTTATTCCGGGTTTTGATCAGAAGGGAGATGGAGTTGATCCAGAGAAGCCTGGGTTGAGAGCTTTGGCGGCCTTGTCCAAAAAGGAGGAGAATACTTCTTCAGAGGACGTTGTTTCGAGTGCTTTGTCAGTTGGAC